ATCATTTAAGCGGTTTTATAATTCTCTCCGCGGTATCATTTAAGCGGTTTTATATTTCTCTCCGCGGTATCATTTAAGCGGTTTTATATTTCTCTCCGCGGTATCATTTAAACGGTTTTATATAACTTGCACTAATTGCTTAAGCATTTCAACAAATCATAATTCCAAACTTTTTTTTTAAATATTTGCTGCAACAATCTCATGCTGAATAAAGTTTTGTTAATTTTATGAAAGTTTGAGGAAGCATTTTTTGGTACTTATCAAATTTACTGAAACAATATGTATATCTAAACCGGAAAAATTCTAATAACTTATGAACCGGATGCATGAAACAGAAGTATTCCGGTAACATACCATTTATTTTCATCTGTTTTCTCTAATTCGTCATAAAATAGATACCTTTTTTCTGTTTGCTTATTTTTGAAAGATATTAAATACAATTCTTCGCATAAAAATCAAATCTTTCCAATTCTATCTTTATCAGTTTATCAGTACTAAAGAGAGAGTAAGGATCACCTGTTATTATCATGCATGGATAAGCATAACTGGATAGAATAAATAATCCTCTTTACCAAATTAACAAAATCATTTAATAATAAAATTGAAGAAATTTCCCATATCATATCCTAATTTCCAGCACTGAATATGTGCATATATGCATTCAGATATTTGGTCTCTTGCCATTAACTTCAAATAATTTATTTATTAAAATGATTTTTGATTAAAATTAATTATGCATAGTCCGGTGATAACATGTTGATAATGATAATGATATTTCAATCAATTAAAAAATTCATTAGCATTGAAATAATACAATTTACTTGTACAATTATTCTGCATACTTATTACATCATTCCATATCACATCATATCATATCATATCAAAATTATTTATTTGAACATTTTCATTTCAGTGGAAAAAAAATCAAATGTAATTGTTGCAAATGATAATTTCGAGAAATTTGTAAAAGCAGAAATAAAAACCGCAAAATTTTTATTTTACTAATAAAAATTTTTATTTTACTAATAAAAATTTTTTGTAATGATTTAAAAGTAAAACTTCAAAACATAAAATATCTATTTTACGATAATGATAACGATGATTGATGATGATAATGATAATGATGATGATGATGATGATGATGATGATGATTGATGATGACGTACTTTTTTCAATAAAAGCGGAAAATTAAAAGGTATGCAAAAAAAAAAAATAGATCACGAAATATTTCACAATTGCGGGATTTTGTAATTGAAATCTTGTTTAGTGACATTAGGATATGGTTTACCAGCTTTTTCCATCTGCAAAAAAAAAAAGATATACAATAAAAGTGATAAATGAAGAAAATTTTCTTTCCTTTTTTTGCATTAATCCATTAATTAATGAATAAATTAATTAATGAATTAATGCAAATTATAGATTTTGTTAATATTTATGAAATAAAGTAAATTGTGTGATCTTTGTTCTTTCGTTTTTTTTTTTTTTGTTAAATTAGTTCCAGGATTTAACCAAAGAATATGGATTAAATTGTGCTTGATGAAATGATAGAATTCAGCCAGAGTATGGATTCGATTTGCCGGCTTGTTGTAACTGAAAAATTAGTAAAAAGTACAGTGACAATAAATTAGTTAGTTAATTGAATTGAATTTAATTTACTTCCTTCTTTTTTTAGTTGTAATAATACATTAACGAGGAATGGTTTGATGCAAAAAAAAATGAGTTTTTTAATAGTATTTATCGATTTAAAATTGGCGAAAAATTAATTAATCAAATTTTATTTCTGTTACAACTATTTCGCCATTATTGTGTAAACTATAAAATATATTATTGTAGGTGCAATAGTAAGTTGAAGTAAAAAATTGGAAAGTAAATTGTTGAACATGTATGGACACTCACATAGTGTTTACTTTTAGGTAAATGCATAAGTTTGCAAAAAAATGCATAAAGCATGCAAAAAGTGCACAAAATGCATGAATTTATTAAAAATGCTAATAAAAATTGCTTCAAATTGTGTTAAAATGTCCGAAGAAATGAATTGCTAATGATAGAATTGCTAATTATTATGCTAAAGTGAATGGTAAAAAAAATTAAAATATAAATAAATTATTCAAATTAATGAAATGAATGAAAATTTATTAAAAATGGAATTTTTAAAAAGGAACCACTTTTTTTTGAGAAAAGTTATCTCCTAGCATGGTAGTATAATATGATAAGATTATGATAACTGATATTATTAAATTTAAAATATCTTGAAAATTCGCAAATTTAAATTTGTTAAATGAAGTTCTTCTAAAAGTTATTCGTAAAAAAAAATATATATAATGGAAGAAAGGACGAACTTTTCGGCCAAGTGATAATAATGTTACGCAAACAGAAAATAGATCACGACCCTCGAAAAGGTCAACCGATTGGAAAGTTTCCTCGGTTGGTACACCTTGTGTTTTAGCCCAAGCAACGAATGCATTAATATTTTCCATGCATGCAAAATTTGAAATTGGTTTTTGAATCTTTTTTATAGCATTCGGCTCAATACCATTTGCTAATCTGAAATTGAAAATGCATTACAGGAATCAGTATTTATTATTAGTATTTAATTAGAATTAAAAAATCTAATTTAATCAATGTATTTACTTTAATTATTCATCAAAATCTTATTTAAATTGAACAGAAATTTTCCCCTTTTTATCGTTATTTTAAATGTCATAATTATAGCAATAATGTTAGATAATTGGAAAATGTCTTTAATTCTCTTTTCCGGATCAGATAAGATATCAATCTCGGTGTAAAGAACTGATAATTAATGATGATTTAATATTAGTTAAATAAAAGGAAATCATTTCCATTTTTAGCATTATAATTGGCATTTTCGTTTATTTCTTTGAGAAAATTAAGAGAAATAATTAAAAATGAAAAAATTGCATATTTGCCTTCCGATAAAAATGCAAAATGAAATTTAAAAAAAATTCTCAAATAAAATCGAAATACTATAATTATTAATAGAAATTCAATAATTATTTATATTATTCAGTCAATATTTTCCAATATATCACAAATTTGTTAGAAATTAAGCCAAAATGACAGTGTAAAAAATGAAATTTTTTGAAAATTAAATTTAAACTGGTATCAAATCATCATCAGTCATTAGTTCGTCACATCCGAAATGATATCTACGCCGGAATGATACCTGTTTAAGTCATTGGCAATTATAGTATCATTCAACATGAAGCTCTTCTTATACTATGAAAAGTAAGGCGAGATTTTCAAGACTAAATTTCATCGAAAATTTTTATGATTCATCATGAACAATTGCTTTTAAAATGTTGGGAAAAAAATTATCGAAATGCTACCGTAATTAAAAAAGATTAGTTAAATGAAATAAAATTAATTCGCTCAAGTATATGTTCATTAATCTTTTTTGTTTTTCTTTCATTCCTTATGGAATGATTAACTCCTAGTATTGATAAGAGTTGATTAATCAATAAGTGACAAGATTACATCATTAAATTGATGAGTGATGTAATGGATGATATCATATCAATGAAGAATAATGTTAAATATGAAAGAAATTATCGGAATTTATCAGGAATTTGATGATTAATAAGCATTTAAAGTTTAAGATGATCTTAATGTCGGATGAATCATCGTTCATTTCAACAGATCAATTAGTCGACTTTATAAATTTGAAATGAGCTACTTCACATTTAACCGTGTCGTAACTTCCCGATTTCTATACCTAGGCAGTAAACAGTAATGATAACAATAATTAATCATAGCTAGAACAACAATGATAATGATAATAATGATGATGATGATAATAATAATAATACTAATAATAATGGTAATAATAATAATAATAATAATAATAATAATAATAATAATAATAATAATAATAATAATAATAATAATAATAATAATAATAATAATAATAATAATAATAATAATAATAATAATAATAATAATAATAATAATAATAATAATAATAATAATAATAATAATAATAATAATAATAATAA